CGGGAACCACGTCACTGCGAATCAAGGAACACGCTGCTCCAGTGTCGACGAGGGCAGTAGTTGGAGTGTCCCAGGCATTAATATCAATGACGGGAACCGAGGACAACAAAGAATTATGGCACGCACACGGAGAAATGGTGGACTCACCGGGGCGGTTTTGGCCACATGCTCGTGCGTCGGTTCCGAAACACTGGCAGTAGTAGCAATCCCTGGGCGACGTCCGAGACGTGAAGGGAGGTTGGCGTGATGAGTACTACGGGCGGCCTTGATTGTAACGCGGCCGGAAGGGGCGTTGCAGTCGACTGCTTCTCATGGGGGCGATTTTTGGTGCTTCGGGTAGCTGATCGCGACTGAGGACAGCCTCGACCTGTTCGAGGCGCCGGGCGGTGTCCAATGCTGCCGCTACAGTGAGTGGTGGGTTGAGGAGGAAGCGGCGTCTCACCGGTGGGTCCCGCGTACCCACCATGATGTGCGTGAGCACATTCGCGTCGCGGTCGATGGGGTCAGTGTCCGGGAATGCTTCAACTGCTAGACGACGAAGTGCACGAACAAACGAGGCCAGCCGTTCACCAGGGAGTTGGATGCGGGTTTGGAACTGATGAACAAATTCCGCCGCACGGAGGCGATCTGTGAGACGATCCCGAAGTTTCTGGAAGGTTCCTGGGGTGATGGGCGCGTCGAGTACACCTTCGTCGCGCACAATATCATTGGCCTCGCCCTCAATGAGGGACAGTAGCACAATTCTGTGGTCTGATGGGGGAACAAGTTCGATATAGTCCTGGGCCGCCCGAGCCCAACGGTGGAAATCATCCCCCATGTGAAATTTTTCAGGTGGGGGGACGGAAGAAGTAGATTGTGTCCGTACGATTCCGAAGTGAATGACAGGGAAGAAGAGTGAGAATACGTTGCATGAGGACGCAGAAAATTTGTAGTGTACCAAGGCAGAACGAACTGACCGCCCCTATCTGTAATCCTCCTCTCGGTTGCCTTCCAGGTATCTCAGCACCAGTTTGGCATGACCAGCCGAAAAAAGACCCGATCGAGATAGACCGAAACCAGGAGGAGAACTGACATTTTTGTTAAAATGACAAGCTATTGATTTTATCGACTTTTATATACGTTTTCCAATTGCACCCCCGCGACTGCGTTGAACCGCTGTAAAACCTGTACGGAAATAAATCCTGAGTTCCGATTGTTCCATCCTGTGGTTCTCCGCGCGTATCCGATCCGTGTGAGCGTGCTACGGGTGGTGCCGAACCTACAATCCTTTGTCGTCAACTCCAGATTGCAAGTCACGGAATCTATACCCAATTTAGTTGGTATCGAACCATAGCATATCGCAGACTTGTAACAATCTTGGCAACTAGTCATTCCCGTTGAGTGTGAGTCATGTTCATGTGTCGCCGGACCACTTGGTTGTCGGTGTATTTATTTTGCTCTCTACCAGATGTGCATTCCACTTCTCTCAGTGAATTTCCTGTTTGTCGACGGTCCCAGCCTACACGTAGACTCTGCCCATTCACGATTGCATATATATATATGTATACATGTATTATGTTACAACTATCCACCGGTGACCGTGATCATGGTCACCGGTGGTTAGAGACACTCAGCGATATGTCTGGGTGTCTCAAACAGCTGTTTGAGAGCGCCACTAGTGGCGCTCATGCATCCAATCATTATTCTTGTAACATCCATCTATTTGAATTCGCTATCTTCCGCTCTCAACATTCTGATCTTCATTCTCCTCTTTTGAGCAAAGGGCGACCAAAAGTATGTAACCAAACCGGTGCAAGTAAGTGCATGATTAATGGTTTTAAAAACGAAAAACCGTTTTTTAAAATAAAATTTCTCTCACTGAATGCGAAGGCCATCGCGCGTCGTTTCCAGTCTTCGAGTTACTTCGCAAACATCGCCGACCATCAATTATAGTGTTCCTTGAATTAAAAGAAGTCTTCGACTCAGTTGACCGCGAGACCCTAATGGGTTTGCTTGTTCACAACGCAATGTTATTGAAGTATGCAACCATATTGGGGTTACTGCACCCGCATATATCTGGTAGCATGAGGGTCTACGGTAAAGCAAGGTCATTCGAAACTAGGAGCAGTATTGATCAAGGTTGTCCATTCCTATTCAATTTCGTCACATACGAAATACTATAGAGCACACTAAATGGCCTCTAAATGTTGGTATGGAATGAGTATTTGGAGAAAGGCTATGTGATTTCGAGTTCGCAGACGATACCTTTTGTCTGTTCGAATGTATAGTGGACGCGCAAAACACACTTGACAGAGTGATAAGATCTGATGCTCAATTCGGCATGCCGTTTGCACATTCAAAGTGTAAAGTGAGGCTGAAAGACTAGGCGTCGCCCAATTCTGTTCTGAAACCAAATAATCAAGACTGCTCCTCTTACTTAGTTGCGTGGCTAAGGATGGTAGCACACTGAAGGAGAAAATCGCATGAATTTCCAGAGCTGAAGCACCCGTGGTGACAACGTGATATTTCACTGAAGTTGGAAAGCCGCGTTTACCGTGCCACTGTTTGTTCGGTTCTGCTTTATGGTTGCAAGACCTTAAATTTGCTAGTAAAGACATCAATCTCACGGACGTTTTCGGCAATCGATGCTTACGGAGTCCGGCCCAGGGGCGATGGAGTGAGCGAATGAGTAATTGTTCGTTAGGGGGTGGGAGGGCGGGATGTATTGAATAGGAATTCACTATCGAACAATTA